CATTTGGATTTTATTTTGAGGCAGGGTTTTGCAGAATTACCCAGATTGGCCTAGAATCTGTGACCCTCCTGGCTCAGCTTCCCCAATTACTGGGATGACTCAGCTTTTAGTAACCACACTCGGGCTGGACCTGGTGGTGCACACCTGTCCTCTTGGCTGTGTGAGGTTAAGGCTGGAGAATCACAAGTCCAAGGCCAGTCTGAGCAATTTAACAAGAACAAGAAAAAAGCCACACTGGAGAAACCTCACAAATCCTCCGGAGGGGGAAGACCCACCCCCAGAGGAGGAAGAGCTCCGTCCCTTTGTGGTGGCCATGGGCCGTGACTTTGTGGAAGCAGAGTCCCTGTGTGCAGCAGGGAGCAGTGTTAGTGCCTTGGTGATGTGAGCCCTCAGCTTAGGAACAGCAGAGCCGCAGCACAGGAGTCGCTTGCAGCCGTGTGTGACAACTGAGGCCCAGGCCTGGGGCAGGTGTGTGGTTCCTGTGCTGTCAGCCTGCCCCCCCCCCTGGAGACACAGGTCCAACACAGGACATGCAGGTGTAGGAGAGTGGACCAGTATGGCTCACAGTGGCCCATGCAGAGGCAGAAAAGCGGGCGTCCATACCCTGGAGACCGAGGGACCCTGTCCGGAGCTCAACCGTGGTGTCCTGTGATGGGGCCAGGAGGCTGATAGGTCTGCATCAGAGCCAGAAGAGGACAGAGGGGAAGCAGAGCTTCTCTGAAGACTCAGCGTTCTGCTGTCCCTGTTTCCCCATTATACCACCCAGGCTACCAGCAGCCCTCGGTGGAGGACTCGGTTTAGTGGAACTGCTCACTCAGCTTCTCCGGGTGAGGCAGCCAGCCGTCTCCTGTGCTGTCCAGGTGTCTATCACTGTCCCCTGATGCTGAAGGAGCGGGCTGTTATACCCAAGTGCTCCCTCGTGCATGTGGCCGAGGATCATAATCACTTCTCTAGTTGTGACTCATTTTAACAGCTCCCTCCTCCAGATGACAAGTGCTGGGCCTGGGACTCAGTTATATCACAGGAACTTCCAGAGGAAAAGAAGAGGGTTCTAGAACCTCCTAGAAGGAAGGCAGAACAGATACACCGGCAGTCTCAGAGAGGTCGGGTGAAGTCCTGGGGACCAGAAGAGGGCCGTGGGAGGCAGGGGTCGGAAGGCACTGGGGAGCTCAGCTTGGCCTTGGTGTGGCCAAGGACCCTGGGTGGCTCTGGCAGAGTTGAGATGCGAATGCTAGTTTTTCAGGCGAGTGCAGGACAGCTCACTGTTATTGCTGCCCTTTTCTTCTATCCGAAGAAGTTTCAGAGAGAAATAGTGTACCAGGACGTGGCAGTGAGACCCCATCTCTGCTGTCCTGAGCTCGAACCCCCAAGTTTGCCGCCCTGTGTGTAGGCCTTTGAGACCCTCACAGAAACCAGTCACACTAGTGGCAGAGCAGCAGCAGAGACCACAGCCAGGCTCCCCTGGGCCGGGGCCTGGGTACCGTGCCTGTGGGGCTGGTGGAGCCACTGGATGGGATCCAGGAGCTATGATTAGCGTGCAGGAAGACAGTACATGCTATACGAGTATGGTAGATTGTAGTAGATGCTGTTACAGGGAGAATGAGGTCCTGTGATGGAGAACAGCAAAGAAATACTAATTTTCCCATGAGTTTGGAAAATCTCTAGGTATTGTTTGAAAATGTGCAATAAACATGTAATTTATGGTGCTGTCCAAACTTGATCATCTGCTAGGTGTGGTAGCACACGCCTGTAATTCCAATGCTCGGGTGGCTGAGGCAAGAGGATTGCCAAGAGTTTGAGGCTAACCTGGGCTACTAGTGAGTTCAAGGCCAGCCTGAACCACACAGCGAGACCTTGTCTCAAAAAAGAAGTGATAATCATCTATATTTTCTCCCATTCAGTTCTTTCCTTTAGTATTAGTCCTTACAACCTAAACTGTTCAGTCTGTGTGTGAGATTCGGGGTATATCTCCTTAGGGCACTGACCATAAACATTCGTTTAGGTTTCAGCTGTGGGGAAAGGCCCAGGTGGAGCCCCAGTCCCATCCCAGAGTGAAGCCAGGGCTCTCCCTGTGCCTGGCCTGACAGCAGGACCACGCTCGCCATGTCATATCCAAGTAAGCGATGAGGTCACCTCAGTGTACATCTGTTACAGCCATCAGCTCTCAGGGTCTTAAGTCTTGGAGTGATTTCCCATGGACCAAGTCACTGAGACAGGGAGTCAGAGGCACCCAGGGAGCACACTCCAGGAAGCTGGAGGAGCTGTTGGCAGCCATGCCTGAAGTCTGCTCTGGGAAGGTGCAAGCCAGCTCAGGTCCACAAGGTCTGGTCACCGAGGCCCTTTCCCTTGGGGCTGTTTCGGCCTCTAGGCTCCTGTTGGTTCTGAATAGGGCTTTCCTGATCTGAGAACTCACAGGCAGCTCATTCTCCAGGTTTAAGAAAATCATCACTGGGGTGTGGGTGAACCCAATGGGACACACTGAGGATGCCCGGTGTCACAGAAGAACAATCTCACCTGGCCAGGCCTCGGGGAGTACAGAATCCAGGGCCAAGCAGGAAGTGTGATGACACAGACACAGCTGGCAGTGCTGTGCTGGCGACCTCTGATGCAAGGCCCAGAAGGGCTCTGCGGAGGCTGCTGGGAAGCCTGGGGCTCCCCCAAGTTGCTCAGCTTTGTTCTCTTTAGAGTGTTTTGACTGTTGCTGCTGCTATTAAAGCATGTTGCAGAAGTCCGCTGTTTTCCTGATTTGGGATCAGTTTCTGGAAACAGGGCCTCACTCTGTACCAGGCTGGCCCCCGGCTTGAGCTTGGCCTTGGCCTGCATCCTCAGTTTACTCCTACAATACAGGGGACCGCCTTGTCTCGCCCACATTCGTCCTCTTAGGAAACAGATTAACATATGAGGAAGAGGGGTCCTGTGATGGTCTTGAATAGGAACTGTGTGGTTTCTGTCTTTTTTTATTCCAGTCCATTTTATTTAAGGATAAAAAGAGAGAAAAAAACTATAACAAAATTTCAAAACACGTCCATCTGGGGGTGTTTTCTTCCAGCACCTGTGCTGCACTGTGCAGCGTTTTAGGAGTTTTGATTACACTCCCTGTAAGGTAACTGCTGTACGATTGCTTTTCTCTGTGATTCACGAATTGGAACAAACTGTGTCAAAGTCCAGTATGCATGAACTGCCTGGAACCTTTGAACACAAGTCACCGTAGAGAGTGGCTCTCCGGGTCAGTCTGACCCTTTGCCACCTGCAGTGGGCACGTCTGTAGTCTCAGCCCTAGGGAAGATGCAGCAGAGGGTCACTGCCTCAGCGGCACAGCCAGAGACCGTCCTGAGAAAACAGGCACAAAACAAAACCGCCTCCTACAGAGTGGGACGAATGTGGGCTCCTCTAGGACTCGCTGTATTGGAAGGTGTTCCTTCTCCTGCTGTTACTGTTGAATGCCACACTTGTTTTAGCTAATACTGTGTGTGTTTCCCAGAAGTAGACACTGATCCCAGCGCTCTGCACGTTAGGTGGACACTCGGCCTCCCTGACCCTCTCTTAAACATGGAGACGAGCTTTTGTTAAATTGCTCGAGCTGGCCTCAAATTTAGGATTTTCCTATTTCTGCTTCAGAGTAGCTGGGATTACAGCTACCAATGTGGGCCACAGTGCCCAATTTATTATTTTAATTTGGGGGGGGGGGGAGGTTGTAGTTTTTTGAGACAGGGTCTTGCTAAGTAGTGCAAGCTGGCTTTGAATTCCCTATGTAGCCCAGACGGGTAATCCTTCTGCTTCAACCTCAAATGCTGGGGTGATGGGTGTGTGCCACCACGCCCAGCAGTAATATTTTTTTTTTCAGCAGTAATATTTTAAAACACTATTCATGTTGCCCTGTTTCGTTATTTCTACATTATATTCACACGAGGAAAATCTCAGGAGGGGCCAGAGCTGGTACAGAACCGTGTGCGGCCAGGGTTTTCCGGCAAGTGCTCCATGCAGGCCTTCCTTGTCATCATGAGGGCGCCCTCTTCTTTCCCGGTGCTGCTCCCCAGCCCACCAACCTCGGTCTGGGCTTCCTAGCACAGTGCTCCCACCTGCCCCTGCTAGCAGACAGCATACCCTCCCTCTCCCTGCCCCACCTGCGCACCTCACTCTGCGCATGCGCAGCCTCTGAGGCGCTAGAGTACGCCTTGCAAACCAGCCGGCCCTGAAAAGAATGCTTCTTTTTGGCCCAGGGCAGTATGTTTGTGACAAAATTAAAATGTTTCAAAAACTAACAATAAAGTAAAAGATGAACTCCTCAGAGCCTGGTGTCCCCTCCCAGATGGCAAAGTTCCTTGTCTTTGTTATTTATCTGCCTGACTTTGGTTTTTCTCCCCCCTGCCTAGTAACATCGACATCCAGCCCCTGGAGTCTCGCTCCCAGTCCCGCTCCCAGTCCCTCAGCAGCGTGGTGGCTGGGGCCACCCCCAGGGCTCTGGGAGGGGGAGGGGCTGTTGCGGGTTCCTCGCGGTTTGCGCCCGAGTGGCGTCTGCCTGGACACTTCGGTTCGGTGCAGAAGGGTAAAAGCGTTTCCTACCTGCACGCTGCCCCCAGATCCTTGCAACCCAGGGCTGCCACATATTTGCTGAGTTGGTAGAAGAAAGCCCAGAGGAATCCAGTTTGTGTTTATTATTAGGACTGACTTGGGGAATTTGGACCTTGCTTTTACTCGGCACCCTGGAGACCCTGCCAGTATTTCTCAAGGGTTTTTACTCTGTTCCCATTTTGTTGACCTTAGGGAATTAGTCCGGCCCTGTGTTTGATGGAAGTATCGTTGTGAATTAGGTAATGTGACCCTGGAGAGAAGCAGAGGTGGACAGGGAGTGGCAGGAGGCTCGGCAATAACCGATCACTCACGTGGCTGAGTACTTACTAAGGAAAGGCCAGGATGGAAAGGCTGCGGCTCGTCGTATACATCCGAGCGGCCGCGCTGCTTTACTGAAGGCACATCTGTCTGTCTGTCTGTCTCCCCAGAGGTGCTGTCGGCCATGGTCAGCGTGCTGCTAGTGTATATCCTCATGGGCTTCCTGCTCTACGAAGCCGTGCAGAGGACGTTGCACACCAACTACGACATCAACGGGGACATCATGATAGTCACTGCGGCCGTGGGCGTGGCTGTGAACCTCATGTGAGTGACGCCTTTCACGTCGTGTGAGACATCACACACACGTGCATTCAGATCGTGAAGTTGTAGCTTCATATTTTAAAATATGTATTGTTTTCTTAACTATTAATTTAAAAACGACATGAATTTCTCTTCCTGGTTTTTTGTTGTTTTGTTGGATTTTTTTGCTACTGGGAATCGAACTCAGAACCATGCGATTGTGGGCAGGCACTTATGCAACTGAACTGTGTCCCCAACCCTTTTTTTCCATTTTAAAACAGGGTCTCCCTGTGCAGTCCAAGTTGGCCACACACTGGCCTCCTGCCTCCGCCTCCCCAGTGCCAGGATTACAGGCATGTGCCATATAAATTTCTCTTTAGCTTGCTAAGCTATAATGGGTTTTGACTAACAGTCAAGGAATTAAGTAGGATAAAGTATTTTAGTTTTTTGAGACAGATTCTGGCCTATAGCTCACTATGGAGTCCAGGCTGGCCTGGAGCGCATGGTGATTCTCTTGCCTCAGCCTCCTTGTGTTGGGATTATAAACCTGTGCTACCACGCCCACCAAGTATTCATTTAGCATTTAGAATATTTTGTCTCAGCTAGGCTTTTTGAACAGATTTTAAATTATGTAATCATTTAAACCAGAGGTCAGTATCCTTTTTCTGCAGAGTTTGAACAGTAAGGAGTTTAGGCTTGGGGGTGTCCCTCTGTTCTGAAACTGTACCCCCTGCGGTGACAGAAGGGGAGCCGCTTTTTTGGGCTGTGAATGCCTTAGAGAGGGCCCCAGCCTTGCCCTGGCACCCGCTTACCCAGGTCTGCTTGGGGCCCTACGGCCGGCTCTGCCTTCCCCCTTCCAGCGCCGCCTCTGCTCCGGAGCTTAGACCCCTTCAGATCAAGGTTGGGACACGCCCATCCACCCCGCTTTTGCCCCAGCTCCTGGAGCATCGCCCGCTGCGTTCAGGTCCTGGATCTGTGGACCCAGTAAGTGAGCGGTGCCCGCGACCTAGGGAAGTAGCATGCTCCCCTCTGCTCCGCAGAATGGGGCTCCTGCTGAACCAGTCCGGCCGCCACGCCCACTCCCACACGCCGCCCCCCAGCTCTCCCGGAGGCGCGGCCCCCGGGGAGCACAAGCCGGGGCAGGACAGTCTGGCGGTGCGAGCTGCCTTTGTGCACGCCCTCGGGGACCTGGTGCAGAGTGTCGGGGTGCTCATCGCCGCGTACATCATCCGCTTCAAGGTACAGGCCTCACCAGCTGGTTTTGGGTTTGTTCCACTGTGGGTGTGGGTTTTTGGAGATATTGTCTCTCACAGTGTAAATGGGGCTGGCCTCAAACTCCTGGCAGTCCTCCAGACTCAGCCTCCAAATGCTGGGACTGCAGATGTGCACCATCACTTGCAGCAATGTGCCAGCTCTTAATGTGTTCAACTTAAGTGTTGAAACTGCCTGGACAGGGGGTCAGACCTGTTGGTTTTGAGCTGGTGTAAGCGTGCCCAGCCAGTAGCACCAAGCTTTGTGAGCCTTGAACACACAGGGTCTCCTGGCCCGAACAGCTCAGCTGTCAGCCACTGCCCTGGGCTCTTCCAGGAATGCTTGGCCTTGAGCAAGGTCCTGGATTCTGGACGTGAGATCCCTGCCTGACACACGGGGCTCCCTGCACCCAGCATTTAGTGACATGCCTGGGTGGGCACTTTAGAGAGAGCACAGCGCAGAAGAGCACAGACAGGTGTTGGGGAATGGATGCGTGAGGACAGGCACGCGGAGGACAGTGACCAGGACACAGAGGCGCCCTCGGCCCTGCGCAGGAGAAGCAGAGCGCGGGAGTCGCGCCCTCTGAGGCTGTGGCCATGGCCGTGGGGTCCCGCAGCGTCCCCTGTTGCCTTCCAGCCTGAGTACAAGATCGCGGACCCCATTTGCACGTACGTGTTTTCACTGCTGATGGCTTTCACCACATTCCGCATCATCTGGGACACGGTGGTCATCATCCTGGAGGGTAAGTGCTCCCTTGGTACCGGCTGCTCGCCCCTGCGGCGGGGGTAGAGGGCGCTCCGGCGGCGAGGGCGTGGGATGCTGCCTGTGCAAGTGTCACTCTGCCCCCACCTGGTCCACTGCACCCTGCAGCAGCTGCGGTGGCGAGGCAGGCAGTGGGGCAGAGCACCCCTCGCAGAAGGGAAGTTCAGGTGCACAGGGGCCAGGCCATCGGGGCACGGCTGGGTGCCAATCCCAGTGGAACTGGGACAGGCACAGCTCCGGTGGGTTTTTATTTTTTAAGACAGGCTCTCTCAGACTGGTCTTGGACTCGCTATGTCGAGGTCCATGCTGGCCTCAAATTTTCCGCAGTCCTCCTACCTCAGCCTCCCCAGCACTGAAATTACAGGCCTGTGGTTGACTCTTGGTGCACTTTTATCTGGTGATTTATTAAATTGCTTAATTCCCATTTAACTTTTGACTTTCTTGAATTTATGACATCCCTGCCTTCCTGGTGCTAGTGTAAGCCTGAAAATAAAAGCTCTCAGCAATGGGGTTATCACTCTCAGGTGTTCCTCTGGGGCTTTTGTTTGTTTTTTGTTTGTCTAAGTTTATTTTGGTTTAATTGCCATTCGTTTTTAGGGAATGAGTATTTGAAAGCATATATTAACCTCAAGTATTTCCTCTGGTTCTTTTTTTTTTACTATTCATTTATTTCTTTGAGACAGGGTTTCTCTATGCAGTTCAGGCTGGCCTTGAACTTACTTTGTGACCCGGCTGGCCTCAAACTCAAAGTAATCCTCCTGCCTCAGCTTCCTGAGTGCTGGAATTAGACATGCACCACCACATCTGCCATTTTCCTGTGTTTTTTGGTAAAAACGTGTACAAGAACTAACATTTAAAAAAATAATTTGTTGAAATTCAATTCAGCAAGGCCATTTGTTACCTATGAATGTAACACTTCTTTTTCTTCCAAAGTAAACCTCTAAACTCCGTGTCCGAACTTGCAGGGGTACCGAGCCATTTGAATGTGGACCGCATCAAAGAGGCACTGATGAAGATAGAGGACGTGTACTCCGTGGAAGACCTGAACATCTGGTCCCTCACATCAGGAAAATCCACCGCAATCGTGCACATGCAGCTAAGTACGCTTGGCAGGGCTCCGGGGAGCAGGCGGGACCTCGATTCCAGTTCAGCAGGTAGAGTTTCAGAGGAGGTCGTGGGTCAGGGCAGAGAGCAGGACAATGGTTTATTTTTTATTTCTTTGCCAACAAGCATCACAGCCTGCTGTCTATCGTCAGGTGGAAGACGTGAAGTCTCTTTTCTAGGCCTCTGTGCTTTTTACTTCAATAGCTTCACAGATCAAGTCTTTTAATTTTTCATTAAAATAGTACTTGTATATGGTCCATCTTTAAAAGTACGTGAGATCCTTAGTAACAGTCTGTTATTAGTGTCCGATGGCCTTTCCTACCTGAGCAGGGACTGGAGAGGTTGAAGTGGCACTGACCAGAGCGCTGACCCCTGACCCGCGGGAGGCAGTGGTGCTCCTGGGTGACAGTGACAGCGCCCCCTTGCCTTGCAGTTCCTGGGAGCGCTTCGAAGTGGGAGGAGGTACAGTCTCGAGCCAAGCACCTGCTGCTGAATACATTCGGCTTGTACAAGTGCACCATCCAGCTGCAGAGCTACAGGCCGGACTCAGGCAGGACTTGTGCGAGCTGCCAGGGCTCCAGCCCCTGAGCATGGCCAGGCCCGTGCCTGACATGGCCGCAGTCTCGGACTCAGAGCAATAAACGGACCAGATGAGGACGGTCCGGGACACAGTTTACAGTGACGACCCCGAGGATACCTCCTAGCCCGGTGCCTGCTAGCAGAATGCTGCCCGAGTCCATTGTACCAAGCCGGTGCCGGAAACCGGGTCGTCGATTTTAAAATTATGTAATCTTAACTCCAGCTTCTGAATTGCTGCTTTTTTTACAGAAATGTTCTCAGCCATCCCAGAAAGACTAGTTATGGGGTGTGGAGCATGTACTCAGCCTCAGTGTTCGGGAAGCCTCCTTTCCCAGAGAAGGCTCAGTGTCATTGTCAGTTACACTTTATAAACAGCTTTTTCCAGACACCACTGCGTTTCCAATCTCAGAGTTGACCGTTTTGATCCTGGGTTGGGTTCTCAGAGCCCAATCTTTACATGTTGTGATTGATCATGCTGTCATTAAGTTAGTTAGGAGGTATTTTCAGTATAATTCTGAACAGCAGAAATTGATCTTAAGCTCAGATCACCATGCAGTTATTTAAAACAAAATAAAGTGAGGGGTGAGTTTCAGACTCACACTTTTCCAGAGTCACCTTCGCTGTGCGTGGAGGCTGCGGGGCCTGTGGAGCGGGAGTGACCATCGGCCCTTTGAGAGCTGCGCTTCTGCAGTTTGCTTAGTCGCTGGGTTCCCGTGTCTGCTCCCCTGTGTGCGCTTTCTGGGGCTCCTGAGGCTGCACTTCTTCAGCCTATGGCCCCCTCAGAAACCCTCTGGAGAACCTCTGGTGCATGCTGTGGGCTGGGGGTTCCCTGGACTCCACAATGCTCAGAAGATGGGGAACGAGAACTGCTCTGAGAAAGTAAAGGGCAAAAGGTGTGTGTGCGTGCACGCATGTGTGTTCGTGTGTGTGTGTGTGTGTGTGTGTGTGTATGTGTGCACGTGCACGTGCACGCACATGTGTGTGCACACATGCCCATGCGCAGTCCCAGGAGGGGACCTGCTTTCCGCCTGTGTCACAGGAAGGCAGTGGTAACATTTCCCAACAGAGGCGACCTCGTCAGTGACAGCAGTAGGAATAGGAATGCTGTCTAACATGAAAAGTCAGCACCGTCTCAGCTCCTGGGAGGGTTGGTGACAGTGACCAGGTGAGTGGTGGGTTGAGTTGGAATCCTGAGAGGCTGGGATGACTCCCAAACAGGCTTGTGCTCGGCTGTTCCCTTTGGCATCCAGAGGAGCCCGCTTCCCTGCTGCTGGGGCTGCTTGGTGCAATGGCCCGCACCCTTCGAAGATGGAGGAGAAGCATCGAGCAGGAGAGGCACACGGGAAGGTGCCCACGCCTGGCCTCTGCTGCGTGGGTGACAGCCTGTGTCTGTGCCTTCCTAGAGCTGCAGCACTTGAGACCTCGTCGGTCTCACTTCTCAACACAGCAGCCCAGAGAAGGGTGTTGACTCATGGCTGGCCTAGATCACTGGCAATGCTGCCTTTGCTGAGCCGAGACCAGCTCCACACTGTTCCCAGAGACAGCGGGACGCCAAGACTCAGTGGCAGGAGACTCGGTGTTCAGGAGTGGGAATGAGGCACCCAAGGTCTTCTGGGAAGACGCCACGGCACAGAGGCCCGGCCACTCCTCAGAGACCTGTTCACATCCGCACCTGCAAACCATCAGAGCTGCCTGCGTAGCTGACTTGTGAGTCTCAGCGCTGGCCAGGAGCAGCCTCCTGGTTTACTTTGGGAAGAGCGCGCTTGCTCCTGGTGGGCTCTCACTGCCCTGGGGGATGCAGTGAACCAGGCCCTAATCCAGGGGGCAGCCTGAAGCCCTGCCTCAGGTAATGGAGCTTAGGGCCAGCAGTAGCCCCCATCAGTCCTGTGCCTGGTCGCTGGGCTTCTCATTTTACTGTTTCCTTACAGTTTTGGGTGCTTGTTCCCACTCCTGAACACTGAGTCCCCTGCTGTTGAGTCCTGACATCCCACTCCTGAGCATCGTGTCCTGCTGACTGTGTCCGTCTCTAGCAGACAGGTCAGGACCTGATGTCATGCTACCTTGCAGGACAGTGGAGGAAAGCACTTGTGGAGAGGTGTTTTTTTATCTGAGGAAGAATTTATTTGAAAACAGCCAGTTGAGCCAGGCTTGGTAACACATGCCTGTAATCCCAGCACTCGGGAAGCTGAGGCAGGAGGATCACTGTCAGTTTGAGGCCAGCCTGGATTACATAACAAGAGCCCATTTTGTAGCAATGGACCAACTACACTGCACCCCTATGGGGGACATCACAGCCAGCTCGGCTGTGAGTCATGATTCTCACAGCGACTCTGAAACAAGCACAATTTAGCTGAGTCTGTTTTCTTACCCGTCGGTGGTCACTGGTTCATCATAATTAGTAAAATGTTCATATCAGAGTTTGAAGTCCTTTGAAGTAAAGTGTGCCCCTGCCATGCAGGGGTAGGCCATTGGTGGGTGTCACCCGGCACAGTGACACTAGACCAATGGTGTGAGGGGCTGGTCTGCCCTCCCTGTACCCGGGAAACCCTGGCTCCAGGCTGCGCTGCCCTGCACCTGCCTCTGCTGGCTTCTGTTTTTGTTGTTGTTGTTGTTTATTTGTTTGTTTGCTTGCTTTTGGGGATTTTTGGCAGCAGGAATCGAACTCAGGACACCATGCTCGCCAGGCAGGCGCTGTGCCACAGAGCTACATCCCCAGCCCTCGGCTTCAGACCTGATTCACAGATTACACTCACAGATGCTGCCATGGAGGCAGTAGGAGCCTGCAAGTCGGGAAGAAGCCGAGGACCCTGTGTTAAATCCCCGGGAGCACCCGGGCTGGCCAGCCCTCCAGAGCCTGCTCACAGAGGCACCGACAGACACCTGCCAGCTTGGTGAGCACATTCCTGGAGCTCTCCCCATCTAGGGCTGTGAAGAACATTCTGAAACACATGCAGCTCAGCACTGAAGTGTACCAGCCAGCGTAAAAGGGCATGGTGTTTTCAGATGAGCCCTGGAGGCGAGAGGAGCTGGAAGTGGGTGGTGCACAGGACCAGCCAAAAGTGTCGTTTTTGCCATGTGGTTTATTAAAAAATGAAAATGGACAGCCCATTCAATTTTCGTTCTTTTCATTAATAGAAGCTTTAAAACCTGTTGTTAAAATCACTGGAAAATACGCTGGGATGCCCAGCGTGATGGCCACTGACAGTGATGACCTTGTAAACATTCAAGAAATAAACCTGAAGAAAGTCTGTGAGTAGGACACCAGGAGATGCTCAGAGGACCTTTCTGTCCTGTGTCAATCACTTATAGCAGCTCCCTGGTCCTGGTGACAGCGCACAAGGACAGAAGCCACTGTCAGGCAGAGACTGGTGTGACATCCCAGCAGCAAAGGTTGGGGAGGGGGCTCCTCATCTGCAGTCTGCTGTGCCCTGCAAAGAACAGGCCCAGCCTTGGTGCACGAATACTTTCAGCACTTGGGAGGCTGAGGCAGAAGGACTGTCAGAGAGTTTAAGGCCAACTTGGCTACAAAGTGAATTCAAAGCCAGCCTGAACTATGTGGCGACACCAGGTCAAGGCCTTGGGGCCTCAGAGCTGCAGTCTCTACCGTGATTTTTACCCTTCTTCAGACTCAGGGCAGAAGTGGGACATTGGAGACCCATGCACCGGCTCACCAGGGTCGGAGCCAGAGGCCAGGCCGGCACCGTCGGCACGAAAGTCCTTCACTTGGTCTTTAAAATCCCTCACTGCAGATTCAGCAGTAATAACAGGACCTTGTGTAGTTTGCAGCGATGGAAGCCCATGAATGAAAAGTAACATCTTAAGCATAAGCACCTGCCTTGTAAGCAGGCAGTCATGAGTTCGATCCCTGGTACCGGTAAAAATGAAAAAGACAAAAAAAAAAAAAAAAAAAAAAGGTAACACCTTACCAGATAGGACTACAAAGGAGCTATTGTGCTCTTAATAATGCTCTTTAAAGTTTTCAAGTTATCTAGGAAAAGACCCAGCTAGAGCTGCAGCAGATGATAACATACAGCTGTGGGGAAGTTACAGCAGTAAATACAGAAGTTGCACTGAATATTTGATTACCGGGCTGAATTTCTGTTTTGACGTCTCTGGGCTGCAGGGGCTGTGCCTTCGGTTTTTCTTTGGTTGGTGCCACATTAAAATGTTTTGTATAAGCTTTTATTTATGCTAGGCACTCAGCTTTAGTTCCCATATACTTTTATTATTTCTTGGTTTTCTGAGACAGGCTCTCACTATGTACCCCAGGTTGGTCTCAAACTCAGCAATCTTCCTGCCTCAGCCTTCCAAGTGCTGGGATCACAGGGCCATGCCACCATACCTGGCCTTATTTCATTTATACCTGAATAATATTTTGGGTTATATTCTAACTTCAGCCATGGTTCCATTAGAATTGCCAAAAGCTATGAAATGCAGCTGAGCAGAACAAAATAAAGGGTAATGGGAAAGGCCTGAGGTGCACTGTGTGTGTGGACGCTGTGCTGCGGACAGGCATAGAAGGAACCCCCGGGGTGACTCCTTGTGACACAGCCTCTCTGTGAATCCTGCTTAGCTCAGCTCAGGGGTTCGGAGGCACGGCCCTGTGAGCTCTCACCAGCCACGCCTTGCCAATGAGGCGCCCCATGTTTTCCTTTCTGATGGTCTGAGGCCTCCCTCTCCCATTTTTTATTTTGAGACAGGGTCTCCCTAAATTGCCCAGGCTGAGCTCAAAGTTGTGCTCCTCCTGCCTCAGCCTCCCAGAGGGGTGGGACCCCTGACTGATGCTCTGTGTTACCAAGCAGTTCTCAGGTCTCTTGCCCTGGACTTCGCAAAAATTTGTTATGGGTTCAATTTTCAGATTCCTACTGTTTGTGTCACTTGCCAGTGTCTGCAGTTGGTTTGTGGTGTTGGTTTCGTTTTTTATGCTTTCGTTAACTAAATGCTGATGATACAGAAGAAAATTATATGGGTGGTTTTTACTCTGCTGTCCATTGATGTGTTTCTTGATAAGCCAATGGAATGTGTTTGAAGTAGGGAATTATTTCAGACACTTAACTCTAGAAAAAGACCAAATCTGTGCCCTAGGCAGCCCTGGGTTTGACCATCCGACCCCAGCCCACCTGACCCTGCCTAGCTTTATTTTATGTAATTTATTTTTTGGAAACAAGACCTTGCTGTATAGTTTAGGCAGGCCTTAAACTCACAGCGATCCTCCTGCCTCGGCCTCCTGAGTGCCGGGATTACAGGAGTGTGCCACCAGCCCCTTCCTTTGTGTTTCAGGGCAGGCGCTTTCTAAGCCGCCAAATTGCCCAGGTGGGACTTGAACTCGTGATCCCGCCTCAGCCTCCCAAGTGCAGGGGTCTGAGCCTCGTGAGCCCCTTTTCTTCCACTGCACAAGAGACTCACGCCCCCAACCCCCACCCCCGGGCTGCTTTCGCCTGAGCCTGGATTCCATGCACAAAGCAGCTGGTGCAGTCTTGGGCTTAGTAAGTAACCCTCACACTCCCCGCCCGCCATTGCCTACCACATCCAGTCCTGCTGTGATCCGGGGAGGGGAGGAAGCAACCTGGTACCCCATGTCTGAGGCCAGGCCATTTCCT